AAACCTGAAAGGCAAGTAGCAGATGTGTCTGTTCTGACAAGTCCCTGGTTCAGTGAAGCACAAATTGCCTACAGAGGCATTGCCTTTCTGCACAAAGCAGTGTATTTTCAGTGGTGCAGCCTAGCCACCACTCATGTCTCTGGCTGCTTGCTCACATCCTGCTATTGCAATTCACAGTCTACCAGCTGTGTTGCCAGACCTGTCCTCTGTGTCCTGCTGGAAACCAGAGGAGTGAAAGCAGCAACCAAGCCCAGGACCACTCACAGTGGCTTCACCTCAGAAGCCAGAAAATCCTGGAGTGCTCTCAGAAACGCATTATGCCCAGACTGAATTCCTGCATCTGTAGGAAACTGCAAGATAAGGGAAGATCATTCCGGTTATGCTAAATCAATCTACTTCTGATGAGAATCGAAACACTCATTCAAGGTTTGAAAAAAGACTATCTGAATTCGCCTATATTTAACTCATGATAATGGCAGCTGCTGTGTTCTGTAACAGTGTACTCTGCCTATGTAGTGTTTTCTATCTTTAGATGCTTGCAGACACTGTGTAAACAGAGCAAGCCAAAAGAATGAGGCTTTGTTCTACTGTTTATTATAGAAACATTCACAGGTTGTTCATAAGATCCTTCATGTATATAAGATAAAAATACTACTTTTATGGCATTATGTCACCTTGAAATGCATTTTTAATTTCTGTTGTGTCTGGAAAGTTTCACTGAGTGAAAATCTATTTATAAGAATTATCAACTTTTAAATTCAATTTTGAGCATATATGTGCTTTTTCGATGTGGTCTGGGAGGGCTGATTCATCACTGAACCCAGAAATTGGATGCTTGTGACCAGTGTATATAGTGAATCTGGTGGTCTTGTACATATTCATTTTCTGGGGAATCACACTTGCATGCATGTAAAACAAAGACTCAGACCCAGGTTCTGCCCTAGATTATTGAAGATGGAACATACAAGAACAATCAGGAGCTGAGAAGACAGGGCTGTTGCGGGGGAAGCTTTGGTTTCCGTCTCTGACCTGGCTGATGCTTATTTACTTGTAGCAAATATAATCATTCCAGTAGGACAGATGGCATAAACTATTCAATGCACGGTGTTTGGGATAGCATCATCCTGCCAGTGCCTCCATTTCCTAAAATGCTACATGAAAAGGTCTATTTTTTACAAAGCATTATTTTGCAATTAAATACCTCCAGCCCTACCTACTCATAAATGAATAGTTGTTTTCCTGGCTAGTTACACACTGAAATAATGGTAACATTTTGGATTAGAAGACGAGTGATGGCATGTGCCCAGCTCCTCTGCTGAAATATTCTGTCAATACTGTTGGGGTAGTGTGTACTTGATAAGAGCAGATCTCTTTCTCACTTTATGTAGTTCAAATTGTTCTTAAAATTCCCACAGAATGTGTGGGCTGATTACTGCAGTAGCTAAATGTGGGATTCTAGGCTCTAATTTGTGGTGTTAATAACGTAGGGTTGGTGGGGCTCTGCACAGGTCATGTCAGAGGCAGCAGAAATGCACTAGCACAGGTCCTCTGGGAAGAATCCTTCTTTCATCTTTCCAGATATGCTGAGGAATGCCAGAGGCAAGCTGTCCCTAGCGTGGCATGGGCTCCATGCTCACAGATACACTGTTGGAGGGAGCAAGAGACCTGTTAGGGAAATGCTTTGGGTGAAAGGACTGTGGTGACAACAGAGAATTCTTCCTCTCCTTCTCACCTGCCAGTGTGTGCCTATCCCATCTTACCTAGCTTCAAAAATGATCCTAACCACAATGCAAGATCGAGTTTCCTTCAAGTAACTTCGACCTGTACAGGCAATGACAAAGCTGCATGGCTTTCCAGAAATCTGGGCTGCCCAGCCGTGCAACATTCATAAGAATGAACAGCATAAACAGAGGCAGCTGGATACATACAAAAGCAGAGTGCTGGGGCATATGAACATGGAAATTTGATCATTATACACATGCTAAGCTTCTTCCCATTCTTCCCACAAGAAGCTGAACTGTCCCAAATTGCTGTGAGGACAAATAATACAGGTAGCTAGTTTGTACTCTCTCTAGAGCATTGATGCACTCACTGGCTTCTCAGCTACCTCCAGAAGATTTGTCAGGCACACCACCCAACATTTTATTATGTTTTTCAGTGTCTTTTAGCCTATGTTTGTTCCTTTTAGTTTCTTGGTAACTACTCTCCTAATCTTCATGTCCTCTCTCTAAAGATGGTAACACGTTGTTTTACACCCACAAAAATGCGGAATTTCAGTTCATTAAGGAGACTGTCACAAAATAAAAAACAAGAGTTACACATTGAATTAAAATTTGCTCACTGCTCAGGATTAAATCAAGAACTGTTACTCTCCTTGAGGCTTCATCTGGTTAGGTCCAAGCATTTATGAAGCCTAACAATGTAATTATAATGTGATAATAAATTACACAATTACTAAAATTGTAATGATTATTATATTCTGCATATGCCAAATATCATGTAAATAATCACTTAAAGTGAAACTACAGGTATTAAATTTAGTTACTAAGATGCATGTAAATTCTAAACTCTATCAGAAGTATTTCAAATAGCTGAAGCTCATTACTAAGAAAGGAAATTATGTATAACCCTGTTCACCAAATCACAAAATAATAGATGTAATTGAATGTAATGGATTTATGACAATCAAAATAAAAGGAATAAACACACATCTTGGCTAACCAAGAAGATCACAATTGCTAAATTCCTTTGGAAGCTGACAAAATACCAAGGAAAACAAATATGGATGGCTATAAGCAACAAGCAACTGCATTAACTCAAGAAAATGAAGGAATACTTTGAATCTGAGTACCAAAAGAACTCACATTATGTGCCAAAGGGCTATATTCTGTATGAAACCTTAGTATCAGCATTAATCTGTGAATCTTAGAATACTTCAAATAGAGTATGTATTGTGCTTTAGCAGGTAGACTGGACTAGATGATCTCAAGACATGCCTTCTAGTTCCAGTTATTCTGTAATTCTCTGATGATTTTAATAATAAATTATCCTACCAACAGTTTAATGGTCTTGTCCATGTCACTCAGAAATACAGTACTCAGCTGACAATTAATCAAAGATTTTCTGACTTTCAATCCATATCATGACTCCAAGATTGTTGTTTTTCTTGGGCAGAAGCAGGCTGGAATGTTCAGAGATTCCCTTAAAGTGAAATAGGTGTAATAAAAAGGTAGATAAAAAATAAACTAGAGATCTTACATGTGTTTTTGCCAAACTGAACTGAGACACTTTTCAATAATATTATTTTCATTAAATGAAAAGATAAGCATTTTGAAGTGCTCTCCAGACAGGCATGTACATGCTTACTCACCCATAATCACTAGTCACCTTTTACTACATTTATTCTGATATACTATTTATGTCTGGTCTGGGACACCTAGAAGTCATTTAATCAAAATGGAAAGTGCTCATTCTTCAGTCTAATACTCCTCTCAATTACTTCATTTCAAAAATAGTTACAACTAATTTGCTCTCATCTGTGGGAAAGTTTTAGAAATAGATGTCTATTAAACTAGCCAGCTTGGGCAGCTACTCATCCACTCCATCCCTGGAAAGACTTACCTCCAGTTATGCCATTTCCAAGGGAAGTATCACACAGGTCACCTCTAGAAGTTCTGCCTCAAAGAGAGAATCTCTGAAGTGAACCATTAGCAAGTTAGCAAGTTTGCCAGGTCTGTGGCACTGCTTGGGAAAGAACTGCTTACAGCAATTCAGACTCAAAACCAGAGGGTACTGGCAGCATAAAGGGAAATTACATGAGGAAGTCTACGCAAAAATTTAGGGTAGGATGTCTTCATGGTAGGCAGGGCAGAGAATGATGGTGATTTGACCCAGTGACATTACAGCAGTTTTTGTAGTAGAGTTGCAGATCTACTCCAACACATCTTTCACCCTGCATTGAAGGCATATCAGTCAACCATCTCTCTTCCCAGGCTCACATTCACAACAGCAATCCTGCTTTCCAAGTCTTTTAGGCTGTATCTGTAACGCAGACAGGACCCACTCCACAGCCCTGTTCCTTCAGGAGCTGTTGTTTGAGCGTGTTTCTCATGAATGGTATGTTCTGTTATTGCCCAAGCTAATGGTTTAGCCCAAAATTATACCCTCCCACCCACCTTGTCAATCTATCCTAAACTACCCGACAATCCTGCTTTGTGCCAGCCCCCTGCTTGGAATTCCTCTTTGGAAATCCCCTAAAACTCAATGTCTCATTAGTCCATGTGACCCAGTTTTCGCCCCTACATCTCTCATTGGACAATGCCTTTGTAAACCCTACCCTTTATCCCTCCCAAGAATTTCTCCAATTTGCCAAGAATTTGTACCTTCCCCTTGAACCTCCCCCATATTTAAGTTGTTGCACCTTTGCCCATTTTGCATTTTGCCCTGCAGATTCACCAAAGTAATAAATCCTTTTTATCCCATGCAAAAGACCTCCCCCTCCTCCTTGCCTCCTTTGAACACAATCTGACAGCCAAAAGGCCATGGTGCCATAGCTCAAGCCACATCTAAGGCCTCCTGTTCCTGGGATGTGACCCACTCTGGGCACGGGACTGTAGAGGCAAAGTGAGTGCAGCTCTGGCTGGTGCATCAAGCCATTGTCTTCTCTCCATTTTCAGCGAATAGATGTACATATCTAAAGCAACTTATGGTGTCTTGAAGACTGTTTTACAAGAATTCCCTGTAAGGAAAATAACTTAGGAGACACTCCCCAGCAATACCCTCAATAAAGAAATTCAGTCTGATCTATAACCCCTGCATCATCATCTAGAGAAGTCTGTTTCTCTCCACTGACTACAGAAATCCTTACTGGCATTAACTATCATCTCAACTAAACATGTAAATGTTTCATGGTGTCCAATATGTAAAAAGTGCCACAGGTAATAAAAACAAAATTAAGAGCAGGCTATACAACACAAGCAAAAAACTGTCAGTGAACTTACTCTGAAAACCTTTTCCACCCTTGCAATACTCTTCCCAAATATGGTTCCAAGTTGGTCTCCAATCCCAGCCAGCAAGAAGCCAAACAGTGGAATCCCAAATAGGGCATACAAGATGCAGAAAACCTTGCCACCCACAGTGCTTGGGGCCATCTTTCCATATCCTGAGGAGAAAAACAATTGTCAGACTCACAGAACTTATACACAGATTTTTAGAAAACAAACTAATAGGTTTTTAAAAACTGCTCTTCCTGTAGGCATATCTTTGTTCCACCTATAATTCCTATTTATAGACTTTCAATGACATGATGCCATTTCCCGGGCAAGCCATCCTCTGTTATTCCGTTTTCCTTGAAGCCTCAGTATCTCATGTTTTCTGTTGATTCAGTCTATCTAAAAGTGCTGTTTGTTTAATTGATCTAGCTGATGTCACAGCACAAAAATCCCTCCATGCTGGCCTGGTGCCTGCATGCTGTTGCTCCTCTTGGCCTGTGCCAATGGTTTCCTGACAGGAGTGTGATTCACCTGACAAGGCTCATTTTCAGTGGTTAGCTCATACTTTCCTCAGCCCCTCATCATACTGACTAGCTACACTGCAGCCTCCAAACTGTACCCACACTATAAAAATCTGCCCTTGAACTCTTTTTTCAGTAAAGCATTATCACTCCAGTAGACATGGTATTTCTGTTAAAATGTTAAAGAGAAAAAGAACCAAGAATTGTGACAGTAATATTTGCACCTTTTTATTTAAGAGCAGGTATTTTAATTGAAAATTCATAGACACTTTGATTTTAACTATACATAATTACTTAAATATTAAAAACTATCACATAATCACAAATCACTGATGCAATAATGATGCCTTGAGAGGCATCTAGAACAGAGGCTAAACAGTGTTAAAGGAATAAAGCAGGTATTTATTAAAAAGTCTTCAAAGGATACACCTTGGGCAGTATGAGAGCCTGGCCAAAGCTGCACTCAAGATGGACAACAGGTCACACATTTTCACACTTTTATAGGTTTTGATCCATTTACATTTTGGGGTTAATTGTCCAATTATAGCTTCAGGTTATGAAGTCCCATCCTCACAGATTGCTCTCCTCAATTCACTTCTGTTTATACCTTTTGGGCCTGAAGCTGCAATGGTGTCCTTGGTTCTCAGGCTGGAAAAGGATTGTTTTGTCTAACTAAATTGTGAAGAGAACTTGCTAACACTTTATATGAAGTTCAGAGTTATATACTAATGCAGTACAGAATCTGGAAAATATGAAAGCTAAAACTTAAGGCATCAATAAAGCGTCCAGAGAGGAGAAAATCTATGAAAGTGTCAAGTCCTATTCCTGTTGGGTTGGTGACACTGGCACTGGATATATCTGTCTGTCATGGGATGTTGAAAGAACTATGCTGACACACAATAATGCATGTCTCCTAACCTACTGTCATTTTCACAGCTGCATCCATCATTCCAGATTTCTCCTAATATTCCAAGAAGGTCCAGGCTCCATGGGCCCCAGGACTGAGGTTGACCAGGTAATCTGTTGAGTTTCTGCCTAAGAGGAGCCCTAATAGGCCTCTGGTGGATAAACTAAGACCATTTTCATGCCCTGACACGATACACAGACTTTATGCAGCCTATAAAAAAATTTCATTAATGGAGAATTTAAAACCAATACAGGCAAAAATATAAGATCTTTTCAATAAGTTACTTAATAGCAGATGTCAATGAATATGTCTACATAAACTATGCCTACATAGTGACATTTATTTAATGAGTAATTTAAAAGCTTATCACTTAGGTCTATTGAGTAAACAAATATTAAGGGAGGGTTTTCTTATGTATGAATCAGAAATGTTTTCTTTCTTGCCACCCGCTGGTTTTATGCTACAATCAAAAATGCATGGTAATGTAGCTTAATATAGAGGAACACAGATTGTACACTCTATACAATCACTCTTTCCCCCTCACTCTGACAGCAAAGAAAAGGCAGAGCTAAAGGCACAGACTCTACTGTTAGAGATGATCACCACAGCAAGTCTTTTAGCTGCCACAGGATTTTTTGTTGTTGTTATTGTTGTTATTTATCTGCATAAAAAGCCAACATAATTTAGTCAGATTCTCACACTTTATTGAAGGGTTATGTGATTATCAAGTTATTTGTCTGTAAAGTCACCAGTGTGTGCATCACAGCTGTAATGTGGAGAAGCACTTTATACAATTTTACAATTTATACCATTTTTAATACAATTTAAAGCTGAACAATACACATAGAAAATGTAAATAAAAATCAACAATTTGCCAGTGGTTTCCACATGATTTGATCTCTTGATCTGATTATTATGACAGCACTGAAATCAATCTTAAAATTATAAAGTTACTATATAATTGTCATCAGATTAACTTTCCAACAATGTTATTGGGTTTGGTATTTTTTTCCTTCAGATTGTCTTCTGAAAGCCAAGCTTGTTGAACATTCTTCAAGAGAGGAGCTGGCTCAGAGAGGAAAGATTAAAAGCCTTAGCATATCTAAGGCCAGAAATCAAATACAATGCACACAATGTATGGGGAGAGAGATGATAAGGGCCTGAATAATGATCTTATTAAAATAAGTGGTTCAAGTAAAGTGAATGGAGTAGTTCAGTATACTCATCATTTAATACAGAGAAATGTGTCAATAATCAAGGCCATGAATTCTAGAAAGAAAAAAAAGTGTGTTTTTTACACAATGTATCATTTGTGGAATTCCTTCCAATTGTTAGTATGAAAACAAGTAAGAATTTTTAAAATTATGTAATAGTTATGAGAATACATTTCCAGCTACAAGGAGTAGGGTATGAGAAGAATTGCTTCAATCAAACTTCACAGCATAAGCTAAAATTAATTGATGTACTTAGGAAAAAAGTCACACTTCTGGGCAAATTCATCTATAATATTAAAATCAAAATCCCCGACAACCATAATGTATTTCATTTGGTACAGCTTCATGATGTTTTTAGTAAAAATTGAGACCATCTGCATCTACATCAAGAACAGGGTTATAAAGCCTGCCTGAGTGTCACCAGTTTTCAGCTCAGCATTGCTATTCTACCCTAATTATCTAAAAAGCTTCTGACATTTACCCAAAGACTCAGTGCCCTTGACACATGCTGGAGTCATGTCTTCTGCTAACAGAGAAATACACTTCAGCTACCTTTTTTCTTTGCTGTCTACCTTTCTCAAATTTTCATTATCCATGTCTCAGTCTATGTATTTTAAAAAATAAACAATAAACATACCTATAGTTGTAATGACTGTTCCAGCAAAGAAAAAGGCACCTCCAAGGTCCCAATGACTGCTGTTGTTAGAGGAATTTCCGATGGGACTGACTCCTGCGTTATCAGCATCAACAGCATGCTGCAAAGAAAATACAAAGAAACAGCAATATGAATATGTTACTGTATCCTATGAAAGTTGGTATAGGCTTCAAAGGGAACTTTCTATGACCATGGAAACAGCTCCAATTTAAGTTTTTAATGTGCATTCAAAGTATAGTAGCCTCTACTGTACACGTAAGTTGAATATATGACTGAATTGAATATCCATTAACTTGGAAAAAAGATACAATGCATAAACTAATGACAAAAGATAAAAAGCAATTGAGAAGTAGAGGGCCAACACCACAAATTCATCCATAAACATCATTCCTGTAGCAACTACTGCTAAAGGAAAAATTCCTCAATGGGAACAGTTCATGTTAGAAGCAGCTAGAAGGATGGTAAATACAAATAATCTTTGTGAAATCAACAGAAGCTAGTCAGCTAAGGATTTAAATCCCCAGACAATCAGTAATTAATTAAGTAATTTATATTTTATGCTAACTAAAGAGAAAGAAATGGCACATATAAACCCTGTTTGAAATGAATAAGATACCTATGGAAACATCATATAAAAACTTCGTGATCAGCTCAAACTTCCCAGTTGCCACACTACACATGATCTCATGTCCACAAATACAGCATGATACAGAGACTCCCAGAGACTGCTATAACGAAATATATCCCGGATAGAAGCTGAGGTAGCTATACTGCTTCCTGGTCATTGTCCTGTGTCCCACATGGTACTGAATCAAACCAGGCAGACATATCAGCCTCCTGAATGTTTGTTGGGAATTTCTAAAAATGCACCATATTGTATCATACACATTCACTTTTCATTGCAGCCTCACAGTCCAAAGGAAGACAGAGCTGAATACATCAACCCACAAAGCACAGAAATAAATCTCTCATCAGCATCTGGTATATTCACCTGAATTGCTCTAAGTTTACTTTTGAGATGCCCTTCAGCATGTATTTTCAAGTTGCTTTTAGATCTCATGCAAGCTATTCTTCATCATAGAGAAATTCAGACCTCACTCTAGAACAGAGCTGAAATGACTGCCTTTCTCCCTTCCAAATGTTCCCAACTGAGTGTAATTTCCATAAAACCACTGCAGAGGAACCAAGCTTCTCTTTTTCTGCCTCCTAACATTTCCAGCTGCTTTTCTCCTGTTCTGCTCCAACCTCACTTCATGTTGCTGTTATCAGCTGCTCACAATACTGCCAGACCTTCTCCTTCTCTTTCTGTTATTTGCTCCTCCTCCTAAATATCGCCACCAATCCTTAGCCTTGGTAGCTTCAGTGAACTTATTGCTGGCTCAACAAGTGAAGCGAAGTGCTACCTCTTGCATCCTCTCTTTCTTTGGCTTTGTTCAACATGGAATTCCCACCTATCAACACAGGTTTGACTTTTCTTATTCCTTTTCTTTAACTAGATCTCTTTTCCCTCTGATTTGTGATCTATGAATTGTCATGATGGTTTTCTATTTCACCTTTTCTTATACAGTCCATGTGCAAAGCAAGGTTAGCCATTCTATTTTACCATTGCCTCACTTCTTACTTGATCATGTCTATGAGTTCTCTCTTGATCTTCTCTATAACCTCACATTCTCTTGTGGGTTTGGCACTGACTTTTAAACACATCCACTTAATACCACTTCTCTCCCTATCCTTCATGATACACTCTTCTCCTCATTAACCTCTTTCCACCAATGGCTTACTCACCACATTTTTTCTTTTCTTCCACTTCCATTTTTCTCAGTCGTTTTTTGCCTGTATTTCCAACTGACTTCATGGTCATAAATGTTCCTCTTCAGCTTTTTTAGCCTGGGCAAGTTTCAGCTAATCTGCTTCCCAGCTTTTAGTTATTCATCGCATTGCCTCACAAAAAGGGAAAGGAGTGGGAGGAGAGGCGTATGGGCAAGAACAGAGACAGCTACATCTAAAGAGATCAGTACAGGACAGCCTTTTTAAAAAGTAGAGCTACTACATGCCAGGCTATGATGATTGTGAAACTATAGCATGAGCAAGTTCCAGCCTGGATTGGTTTCATTTCACGTGGGCAGAAAGCCAGGGTTCCTCAGCACATGTCCATACCTCAAAAAATAGGGATATAGAGAACGGATGCGTTTTGCACCAAACCCTTTGGAAGGGCTTCTGTACCAGTTGCTGGCATATTGCAGGTGGTGTGAAAGCAGAGATCATTTGTTGGTTTATGCAGAACAGCATAAATCAACATAACAGACAGGTTGCCTGTTTAAATAGGCCATGACACACAGTCAGCTACCCTGGTTACTTCTGCCAAGGAATGCTGTCTGCCCTCCCCTTGAGTGTGTGAATGTCAGCAAGCTAATTACACTTAAATCACACTTGAGTTTACACAGTTTAGCAAGTCTTTCAGGGCCAAGCACTAACCCCTGAAGTGAAGGAGTATCCTGTTGCCTTAGATAGCTTTGAGATTCTCAGGCTCCCTTCTCATCCAGAAAAAAATCATTTTTTCTTTAAAGCTTCACTGACATCATTCATTTATAAATATCCAACTATTCTAATACTGTCTTTTAATACATAGTATTTTGCGATGGAGGACAAAAAGAGAGCAGCAAACAAAAGCAGCCAGCAGTCTGCAGCTAACAGCACTTAACCGATTTTCAGCTCATGCACGAGAAAAGGATGCCTTACTACTACCACCACAAGTCCACCTACACAGAACTATCCTGCTAGATGAAAACTGACACAAAATTCAAACAATACTATTACTGGCAAGACTGTCCCAATTCAGACCATAAAACTGTACAAGTTTCCCATCTGAAACTTCAGATAGGCTTTACAGCAATGACCTGGAGAGCTGCATCTTCAGGTTATCTCAGAGTAGGAAAAATCCTGATTTCCAGAGTGCTAAACATTATGTAAACAAACTTCAGATATTTAAGGGATTTTAAATGAGTAGTTTCAGCTACTTTTATAGTTGAAGTATTGTTGAAAGTAACAGGTCATGAAAGTACCCAAAGCTGTTTCACACACTTGCTCCTTTCCTGATCCCTTTTTCCTTCTCCAGAGGAGCTATAAGTACACAGTTTTTTCATTATAGTTTATTAATTGAAAGTGCAATCTTCTTTACTGAAAAACTACCAACCTATGGTAATTTTTTCTTTTGAAATGCCACCCATTTCGGGGAAGGCAAAAGTTTGAAATACCTCAAAGGGTGATACAGTCTTTCTGGATGTTCCAAGTGATGGATGTATGCTAAAGCCAACAGGCAGGTAGGAATGAAGAGAATGACAAAACTGCGGAAGTAAATAAAAGTACTTGATATTATTTGTTTTTAAAAACATACATTTCTGATCATAACTTTCTTTTTTGTTCCCTATCATTGCATAGATATGTATTTTACTCTCAGCCCCTTTGGTATCAGTATAGTATAGTCCTTCTGTAACAAAAAGATGTGGCCTGGTGACATGGTCTGCATGGGACCAAAGACTAATCCCACAGCAGAAGCCAGCATTTGTGGTGATACTGGGACAATTGAATCCTGTATTCCCAAAAAGAGTGAAACCAAACTGCATCTCAGCCTGAAGTACACTTCATCAATTCCACTTGCATAAACAAAAAGATAGCTGAAAGCCAGTGCAGCTGATGAGGAGAGAGAAACAGACTGTTTCTGGTTTCTCCATGAAAAGAGGCTTTTATCTGGTTCATTTGTTTATGTTTCTGTAATTTCTCCAGTCAAGATCCCAAGTATGAGGAAGACAAATCTCTTTCAAGGACAAGTGTAATATCCCTCTCAAGTGATGAGACAGTCAAAGATGTACCTAGCCTATGTGTTATCAAGGATAGGAATTTGATAGGAAAAGAAAATTCTTGTCCTTTTTTTTCCTAGCTCTATTAATTCCTCTCCACAGATCATTCTAATCCAATAATTATTATCTCCCTCTACAATTCTTTTAGTATTCTATCAAGCATACAAAGAGTTGCTTCAATTGCCTTTCATGCTCTGATATTTCTCTATTAGGATTATTAGGATGCTTCTCATTAGCAAGCAGCTTTTAATAACTAATTCTTTAATAATTTCTTCTATACTCCCTAACTCTCTACTTATTCTCTCTACCCGTTATACAGAGATTAGGGGCCCTCATTATAAATTCACATTTATTCACTTTTCCACAATGGCATTTTCTAAGGACCAAGGCCAGCAATTTTTTTTTCAGGTTTAATCAAAGTAAAGTTTTCAAAGCCCATTCCTGAAATATTTCCGCCTATCCCACAAAGGACTTTAGGAACCAATCAGCCAGAAAGTGATCTACCTACACTTAGAATGATTTGATAGTCACACATGCACTGTGTCTGAGGGTAGACCTACAGCATTCAACAGGGGATATGCACAGAGAACTAAGTCCAAAAGGTTTAGCTCCCTGTCAAGACATCAGTTACGTTCTGGAAGCAGCATAGCTACAGGACAGCTGGAGACTCGTGAAGCATCTCAGGCTAAGTCTGTCTCCTACACAGCTGGAGCAGCTCTGGATTGACATTACAAACCAGGGTGCCCACACCAAGGTTTGTAGGACAGGACCCAACATATCTGAATCCTTTTTTCTATCCTGTTAGGAGGAATAGAGTAAAATAAAGATAGGTGCAGAAGATAACTTCCAGAGGCACAGGTAGAAGGTTCAATAATCAGATACTTACCACTGCTTTTCTTCACAGTTCAAACAGTATTTTCTTGTCTTCAGCAACATGCAAGTCTTCTCCATAGTTAATTCAAAGTACTATTTTTTTGCCTGCTCTATCTAGAGTTTTCTTCTAGCACATGAAAATTCTTTGTCTTTGACATGGAAACAGCCTGGAAAGAAAAGCTGACTTATGACACTAATGAACCAAGCAAGCAGCAGCACAATGAAACATCTCTGCAGGATGTTCCCTTTCTTACTTACCTCCAGGGCAAAACTGGATCAGAACACTAATCCAAAGTGCCTAGCCAAAATATGAATTCTTTTTAACATAATTAGATAGTAAAGCCTGACTAGCTTATTTCCAGCTCTGCTTCCTTTGCAGCTTGCAGTCCAGCTCTAATGCGTTGCTGTAGTTATTAGTGGGTTGCTAAGTCATTAATAATATGACTTAGTTACCAGGTGGGTGATTTTTTATATACATATATACTGTAATCACTCACACTCCGAAATTAAATGCTGATGGACAAGGAAGAAGAAAGCAGCCTGACAATAACATAAGTTCTTAAGTAGCAAGCCACTCTATTTTGTATAATTTTGCAGGGTTCATTACGAAAGCAGGGCTCATTATGGAAGTTTTTACTCATATACAGTACATAGGATATACAGAAACAGATTATGAATGCCCTTATCAGGTCCATAGGAATTACTTTGCCAAAACACAAAGATGATCTTCCTATCTCTCCTAATGACAGATAAAATATGATCTTTCTGAGAAGCGTAACCTCCCCATTATACATTCTGTGTGTGTGTTATTACAAAGGCAGAATAACTTGGTTTTGAACCCAGCTACTAATAAGATTATTTTATAACACATAAAAATAAAAGGAAAAGGTTTGTAGTATGTTAGCAGATGTATCTAACAATGTTATTTTTCTTTTCAACTCTGTCCAGTCACCTAAGTCCTACTATCTTCTGCTATTTGATCTAATAGGTACAATGCAGCTGAATGTACTTGAAGAGCCTGAAGTTTCATTGTATTTTAGCATGTTCTAGGTTTCATTTTTCTCTAACTCTGAAAATCAAAAGTGTTGAGATAGAACACACAATGATGTCATTTTCTTAATCTGGTATTCACTATTTTGCCAAGCTACAGATCACCTACAGCCTTAGACAGTGTACTGGCTTCACTGCAACAAGTAACTTCAAATACAGAAATGGGCTTTAAAAATTTGCAGTTAAGAACTTCTACTTCAGGTGGCTTTAGAAAATTTGGACTGTACTGTGAAACATTTGACATTGTTATGAAAAAATTACCTGTCATTGTGTTAGTATTAGACAGACCTGAACCAAAATCCAACAGTCAAATACAAATTTAAATACTTTCAATCTCCCTAAGAATTTGCACTGCTTTCATCACCATCTTTCTTCTGAAGTTCTATGAATGAACTTCCAAGTCTGGACTCAGCAATTCACATTTGTGCTACCAGTGCTAATATTTGCAATGGGTTTTTCAAGATAAAGGTGAAAAGGATACTTCATCCCCACTAAATTTTAACAGCTTACTCATACAATGCTGTACATCTTCCTTACAGGTTTTCCAAAGCAGAATCCTTTGAAAGATTGAAATTTAGAAAAAGGTATACATTTCTCCATCATTATACATTCTCCATTGTAGGGACCATGATACTCCTTTGGTCTTCTTAAAAGATTGATCCAGAGCCCTGCCCACAGTAAAATAATATAAGTTAGTTCTAAGGTTTCTCTCCTTGTATTTTTCCATATTCTCCAAAGCACAGAGGTGAATCAACACAGTCTTTCTGCAGAGTATCTGTGTTCATCTAAGGGCTTTCAGGTAGTCAAATAACATTAATTATGAATAGTTCTCTTAGTGGTAGACTGCACACAGCACAGCAGCTAGGACCCATGGAGGTTGCCACAATAGTCTGAAATCACAGCTATAAAGGCAGTTGCAGCATTCGGTGCAATGAAGAAATGTGTTGGGCCAGCCAGGGGGATGTCACTTTTGAGATCGTTATGAAGTTGTGGAAGCCCAGCGTTAACTCCCTGACATTATCTTCAAGCACGTTCCTTCACTGCTCTTTTGTGCAAGTCGGTTACAACCAGTTTTCCGTATAAGCATGCCCAGCTACATTCCTGGAGCCAGTTTCAGCCCTAGACATACAGAAGAATCCAAAGAAGCTTGTTCTTTATTGACAAATCTATTTCAATATTTCACATCTCTTGGTCTTAAGACATTCACATCCTAAGATGCTAAACCCATTTTAATTTACGTTTGCACAATGACTTCCAGTTACCCACTGTAATGCCTGAGGACATATTGAAATCTCAGAAGATGATAAGATTTGTCCAGAATATCTGTCTTCTAATGTGTGTTCATTATTTCAGTATCACCACTTCTGAGGCAGAAGAAAAATATTGTGTAAAATAAATAATTGGTGTTGGTACATAACTTAGGCTAGAGAATAAGGGCTGTTACTACTGCAGTTGGTGTGCAGAACTCCACAATCTGCTGAGGTGCTTTGCTTATTGTACCTTATATGAGTTCTGCTTTCTGGTTGGAAAAAATGTATTTTGCCTATCTTTTACTGGTGACAATCCCACCAAGGAAATAAAAGCTTCTTGCTTTTAGTGTTTTCAAAACATCCTTTAATCATTATCTCTAAGGAGTAGAGGGAAATACAGATCTCTGCAACACTACCGAGATAAACACATCTGAACCAATATCCCTGGGTCGTGCTAACCTAATATGTTCACCTGTCTTTTGCAGACAGATCAAGGATGTGATCCAAGCCATCCCTGATCCAAGCAATACCACTTCCTGCTAAAGCAGATTTATTTTTTTAGTTGTAGCACCAGGCTGCCCAAAGGTACAGGTCCAGCGACACAGTTTTTTACTCAAACTGAATTGTCTTCTTTGAACGCAGAGCACAAGAGGGAGAGACCACATCTAGTTGCAAAGAAGTTGAGGCTGAAAAGTAGGAGAAGGTCTTTTCTATCACATCAACGAGATATTGGAACATCTTATTAAAGGAAATAAGCTCATAAATTTGGTTCACCTACTGAAATGTTTTTTTAACACTGCTGATTAGATGGACACAAGGTTTCAGGGGATAGCTCCATGTTCTTTCAAACAGCCTGGAATGAACAACAGAGCTCTAGTGCAACACCACAAAGGGAAACACTGTGCTCTTGGAAGGCTAACATAAATTCAGATCTGAAATATAAGGCTGAAGTTTGAATATGTTCCTTAGGTAAGTCACATTTCTTATCTAATCTTTCTTTTCTCCAGGCTAACTGATAGGCTTCTACATGGAATTCCAGAAGATTCTCTCCTGAAGTCTTGCAAGATCCATAATACTTTCCTTGTCTAGAGTTTTAATCAATGAGAGCTAAATCTATCCTTGATAGACCTTTCTTGCATGTTATTATACTTTCGACTTAATCCTGCATACTTGAGAATCATTTCCTTCAAAATTGATTCTAAAACTTTTCATATTACATCAGCCTAAAAATTCCAAAGCTTGTAAATGACAATTACTTTCTGTTTTGATTTGTATACTTCGTCCTCCTTAATTTATCTAGAAATTACAACAGTAAACCTGCAAGTTCAGAATTCTTAGCTGAATATTTGTTTCAAAAATCCCACCTATCATGTTCTATGTGTCCTTCTGGTTGCTGTGTTTAATTTTGAAGAAAGAATTAAGTCCACTTGAAAATTTGTAGAGATGAGGGCATATGTCTTGCAAATCTGTCAGCTCTCTCAATTTTTTTTTCCAGATATTAGATTCTACTTTTCTTTGCACACTTCTTTCAGTATTCTTGTGAATACAAGTACCAATCTCTTCATTCTCATGCCCAGTGACAGGGCTCAAGGAACGGGATCTCCAGAGAAGTGGTCGCAGCATGAAGCCTGACAGAGTCCAAGAAGCATTTGGGTAATGCTCTCAGGCACATGGTGTGACTCTTAGGGTGTCCTGCATTGGGTCAGGAGTTGGAGTCAATAATCCTGATGGATCCCTTCCAACTCAAGCTTATTCTATGATTCTATGGTTCTATAGTTACAATATTTTAGAGACATAGTTTCTGCTTCTCAGACCTTAAAATGACTGGGAAAGAGCCTGCTCTTCACGCTATCCATTCCAAGGCCTTTGTGAACAATTTTGTTCCCCACCAACTCAGCTGGTCAATAAACCACTGAACTGTTTCTCCAAACTTCCAAGAACTACCATCCTCTCCACATGGCCTACCTGAATCAGTGTCTCCAGCTCTAGCTCGGTTACACAGACGTGCTCCCGGAGGAAGTCAGCCTTCTCGGATGCAATTGTGTGCTTCTGCCTGCTTTCAAAGGGCTGCTCCAGGGCACGGAAGACGAGTCCTCCCGCCACCAGGTAAACTACCACCACGATAAAGATGGCCACCACTGCTCTCCAATCCATGACTTTCTGCCGGCCTTGACAGGGGGTTTCCATGGCAGCAACAACAGTGGCTCGGGAGGAAGCGGAGAATTGTGGAGATGGGTAATGCCCTTTAGTTTTGGGCTCAGGCTCACAAGCTGGCACTGCTGAGGGAACAGTCACTGAAACACAAAGAAAAAAACCTTATTCAAAATCAAATCTTTTAGGGTATGACCTTGATTTTCATAAAAACTTTCCTAAAAACCATTTTCAAGACTTTTACATAAATCATGTTCTTTACATAAGATATGGTTCCTCTCATCTGGAAGGTTCCATGTCTGCTTTGTCCATCCATACTCAATGGACACCTCAAGGGTTTCCTTTGCCTCTGTAGAACTTCACCCATTACCTCTAGAACTGGACAGTCCAGTTACAAGTGCAAAAAGTTCAGAAATATGCAGAATATATATGCAAAATGAACATGAAAATTCTGACCAGCTAGGATATAAATTACACATGGTTGTGTTTGGTGAAGGACCCTGGCAGTGGTCCTTTTACATCCTTAAATCATAATACTAATAGTATTAATAGTGCTAAGAAATGGAGCTGTTAAAGAACACTGATCCCTACCTGACCTGGTATTGACAGAAACAGAAAATGCTTTGCAAACCACAGTGCTATTTGGCCCACTAACATAACCTGGCCCGTCTATTTACCTGAATTCACAAAACCATCACTCCTGAAAATGTCCTTAAAGCCTGGAAGGTTCACAAAGTTCAGCATAAATAATGTGTCAGCCAGAGTATACGAGATGTCTGAGGTCAAAGTTACATGCCAAGTGCAACTGTGGACCTCTCACCTTGGGACTGAGACACTGTATAGCCTAGATGACCTTTACAATACATCAGAGCTAACAAGTCCTGATCTCCAGTTGGACTTAATAGCCTAACCACTGCTACCAATGCATGTAAATCAAAGCTAGGTCATCTCCAAATAATTCAGATGTCTCATCATCATACTTCCCCACTCTCTGTTGCTAGTGTTAACAATGCAGGTTCCTCAGCATCCACTGATATAATGGTACCACATGTAGGATTTGAAGATGCTGGATTCATTTTAAACCAAATTCCTGTGTAATCTTACCATGGTGCAGCTGCCACTGGCCTGTAAGTTTTTTGAAAACAGATTCATTTTTCTGCATATCAGACCTAAATCAGATTACAGTTAAAATACAGCTACTTTAGGTGCATTCTCTGAACTTATTCTCAATCTGTCTTTACTTTTTCACTTAGAAATTAAAGCAGAAAGATTTACAACATCCCATCAGAGTGGCATTGTAACCCCATTCTTGTTGTATGTTCTAAACTTACAACATGATTATACTTTGAGTCTGAAGTGGGCCAAAATTCTTTCCCAACAGAAACCATTTTATGATACTGAATAATTTCAGAACTCAGGTGTTTACTACAGTCATGTTTTCCTACAAGCAATACAACTCTGAAGCACTGCATGGAGGATAGAGATTCCAGCTTACTTAATCAGTAAACTACAGAAATCTATAGTTGCTTTACACTTACAGTTAATATTTCGTTTCATATATGATGTAGAGGTTCCACATACCACATAGATTAGAAAGGATCCAAGATCAGAGCAAAAGCCTTTGTGGTTGATTCCTTTTTTATTTGTTTTGCAACACCCTGTGGCACAGCTGTTCAGTTTGTCCATCAAAAGATCTTTATGGTTCTCAACACTTATTAACCAGGATGGGGTGACATCAGACTTAAAAGGATATTTTCTCTTACCTCCAGATACATTTCATATGACTTTTAAGAACTTTGTGTGACAATAGGAAGAAGAGTGACAGTATTAGAAAAAAGTTACATTTTTAGTAAGATATCAGTATATTTATTCTCTAAGTCTCCTGAAAGTATTATTGTAATAAATACAGTGAATTTCAGCAGGAAACACCACAAAATTATGTAGAAGAAACATAAAATATTGAGGTTGTATGAAGCCATTGGAACTTCCCTTTCTCTATAGGCAAGTATCTTAAACCTGAATCCAAACATCCTGACTGAACTAAATTTGAGTACTCACAGAAGTGGCTCAGCTGACGTAACTCTGTGTAACATAGCTTCCACAGGTTCCATAGAATTCATATAGTTTGAATTAGTTAGAGCCCATAACTACTGTGTATATTGTAAACCAACACCAAATCTGTGAGCCTGAGGGCTGATTTTTCGCACTTCAGATTACCCAGCATCAGGATCCAAAGCTTACATGGCAAGAAGAGAGCAGAATTCATGTGACAGAATGCTACCATTTTTTGAAACAGGTATCCACCTTATCACAACTGGCATGGTCCAGTGTTGACTGGGTGAGACTCTCAGTGGAAAGCCTTTGATATGACACAAATAAGTCAAGAAGATAGAAGTCAAGAGCTGGTATCATTAAAACAGCATTTGTGAGTTTTCTTCTCCTCTCTGCTAGTATAAATGCTTTTTCTTATTCAAATAGTGTTCCTGGCAAAGTGTTAGTAACAGCCTTACAGTAAAATCATGGCCTGTTTGATTCTGTCTTCTAAGGAAAATGTATTGTACTGATTTAAGAATAAGTTCAGTAGAGAACATATAATGTTCTTATAAATATTTTGTCAAATAGCTTAGTAAATTACTATCCTCAGCTTGCTTATCTCTAAAAAGAAGAGAAAAAGAATTGTCTTCATTTTTAATTTTCTGCTATTAGTAATAGCTATCCTAAGTGAATGTAGAACTGTTGATCCTAAAGTGTTTTATATTATATAAATAAATGCACAGGACGACTGTACTAAAGCAGCTAGTTAAGCAACTGATGCGTAACAGAAATCTTACAAAGCAGATGAACAAGGCACAACTGCAGTCAACACTGCAGAGATTTTAAGCAGGAGTTAGGTATTGGAAGAACAATGCAGATACTCCATCTAGGAGCTATCCCACTCTTTACAAGACAGTGGGTAAGAAGCAAGCACGTGGTAAGAAGTCAGAAATTCTGATTTCTAATTGGAACAGTGTCTCTGAACCTATACTCTCACAAAGGTGCTGCCATTTGCCTTTAAACCATGGTTTCATCAACTGCAAAAAGAGAAAGTAGTGCTTACTTTTCTACAAGTGCCCTGGGAGTGTCCATTTGTGAAAGTAAGAGCTAACTAAAATTCTAGAAGTTTAACAAGTAGCTTTACTAAAACCAAAGGACAAACTACATTGGCAATTCAACAATGTGCAGAGGTATACAGCTTTAAAAAATTAAGGACTACATAAATTCTTGCATTTGTATAGGCAGTTTAGACCATAGTTTAGGACAAACATAGAGCAAAATATAATAAATGCAGAACAATCCCTACTTCATTTGTTCATGTTTTTTCAAAACAAGCCATTGTCAGAACAGGCTTTTCCCCAAACAGAGCCTCATCCATATGTTCATTAAATCACATCAAAGAAGACTTAATCAGTCTCAGTGAAAGCAATGATAGATCTCCATTCACATTCATGCACTGTATTAGCTGACAGCTAATCTCATAGGTACAGGAACCCTCAAAGGAACACTCTGGTGTTTCAAAACAGGCCTTATCCCAGTAAAAGGATGCCAGAGAGCAAAGAAAGGTAAATTCCTGATTGTTTGGATAACCTTCAAAATTAAACAACTGAAGATATTAATGTTCCAAGTTAAACTGCAATATTAAGATCTGTACAGTTGTTCACATTTGAGATTACTGCATTACCTGAGCTTGTACCGGCAAACATGACTGCCAGGGTTCCCAGTGATGTTTGAAGACCTTAAATACCTCAGACTTCTGCTAATATTGATGAGAATTAAGGAAGCAAAATCTCACTTGCCGTCAAGATGATGGGACAAAGCTTAACTGGTTAAAGTTGTAGACAATTCCCTGCTATGGAGAGCAGAGGGCCCAGTGTGCTGAGCAGGCCCAGCCCAGAGCAGGCTGTGCTGCCTCCTGAGCCTGGGTCATGGACATCACCAGGACACTTCCCGGCCTGGCATGGCCCTCAGAACACTGCCCTTCCTGAGCTGCCACCTACGGAGCCAAGGAGACGGCAGCACATAGTCCAAGAAAGGAGTTCAGGGCCTTGGGATGTTTGGTAAGGGAGTCTGAGGTGTGGGTGATGTTCTCCTCTCGAGTTACAGTTGAAGGCAGCATCATGGGAAGAAATGGACAAACTGAGTCTATGGCTCCACGGCTCGTGTCATCGTCCAAATTTTGGTGGTTTTGACAATGGAATGGTTCGACACAGCCCCAGGCATGCTGGCATCAGACTGGCTCACCTTCCTCAGCAGTGGAAGAGAGTCTTTGCTTAGGAACTAGTGGGGCTCACTGGCAGGGCTTTGTGCTAGATGTAAGGGGGTAGAGGGGCAATATGAGGCTTGTCCCTGCAAATGTCAGAGGATGTGAAAATAGACAGCTAGAGGGACAGAGTGCTAGAGAGAGCTCTTTACAGTGACTCTGAACTGTGCTAGCCACCCTGGACCATATCTCCAGTCTTAGGGAGATGAGCCAGGAAGTCCTAACAGAAGGGAAACACCAGGGAAATTTCTGAAAGGAATAATGGGGTATTCCTCAAGGAAGGCAGCCTGGCAGTCCCCAGGAGCAAGAAATTGGACAAGGAAGGCAAGAGACTGGTATGGCTGAGGCTGAGTAGGGAACTGCTGGTCGAACTAAAGGTAAAGAGACAAATGCATAGACTGTGGAGACAAGGACATGTAACCTGGGAAGAGTATAGAGATCAAGGGATGGGGTAAGGAAGGCTAAGGCAAAGCTGAAACTGAACCTCACAAGGGACACCAATAATAACAAGAAGGGCTTCTAATGGCATGTTAACCAGAAAAGGAAAGTCAAACAAGCCCCCTGATAACAGTAGCCCCTGATAAACAACATTGGTAAACTGATAACAACAGATGAGAAGAGGCTGGGGTACTTCACAACTTTTTTACCTCAGTGACAGCCTGTGTTCAACTGACTTTTGACTATGAAAACATCAAAATGTGGCTTTGCCACAGTGACCTATATCCTGGAAACTATCTTACTCAATATGCTAAGAACACAGGAAATACAAAGAAACCTGGTTTCAGAGGAGAGTTTCTTAAATGGTTTAAGCCAAATAATTTTTTTTTAATAAACATGCCCTTCTCT